AGGGGGGTGGGGGCGGCTAACCCCCGCCGCTATGTTTACCTGTCATTCAGCTGTGTCTCTAGATGGGAACAGTAGTGTTCAGCAGGCGGTGTTTTTTTTTTTTGTGTGGGTTGGTGATTTTTTTTGTAATAAAGGACTTGTCAAATTAACGAAGCAAAATTAGTGACATAACGAATCTATCAGAAATGAAACTAAACACATTTTTCTGTTCTGCTCATGTCTAAGAATTAGCAGACAGAATGTTCTAGCATCTACCAATTATCTGTTTCAGAAGAGAGACTTTACTTTGGATATGGTAATGCCAGTTGACCATGAGAAACATTATGGGCTTTTTAATTTCTAACATCATAAAAGTCTAAGGCATGAATGTCAAATGAAATATCCTCTGAGAAAAAGCAATTCACACATTAATCTGTGTTAATAAGGATTTGCATGGTAGTGCTCACTTTAACCTGCAATAACCTTTCTTCATTTCAAATGTAAAATAAGTAGTGACAGATGCTTAGTATAGTGGATCTGTCTGCAGGCTTTTGTCTCCAAAAGAGGACATCATGTACAACACTATTTATGCCAATTTCATTCAAATGTTCACAAAACAAACAAGCCTCATTTACTGTACCTTGTTTATGTAGACAATGTGTAAGTTACAGTAATTTGTAATGCTTTTTAAACAGTTGAAGCAAACAAAAATGTTTGAATGGAATATGAATGACTTGATACATGGTAGAATTGGTTTTAGCTCACTATTAATAAAGATGTTTGAGACTAATACGTGTTATTGGACAATATTTTTTAAATGTTAGTTTTTAGTACTAACTAGGGATGATGTTTAGGTTTGCCACTTCCATGGATTCAAGGCAAATCCTAAGTGTTTGGGTTTGCACAGATTCACCCGGAGACTTTTCTTTAAACCAATGGTCTCCAAACTGCGGCCTGGGGGCCAGATGTTTGCTTTTATCCGGCCCTTGAGGCATTTTTTCCCCTCACTGTCACCAACAGTGGGGCATAGTTCCTGCCACTAACACCAACAATAGGGCACTAGTCCTCTCACTGACACCAACTATGGGATACTATTCCTCCCATTGATGCCAACGATGGGGCACTATTCCTCCCATTGATGCCAACGATGGGCCCACTATTACCAACTGGGGCACAATTGATACCAACAATGGGGCACTATTCCTCCCATTGATACCAACAATGGGGCACTATTCCTCCCATTGATAACAGCGATACAGCACAATTCCTCAGATTGATACCAACAATGAGGCACTGTTCCTCCCACTGACACCAATTATGGGGCCCTAGTCCTCCCACTGACACCAACAATGGGACGCTATTCCTCACATTGATACCAGCAATGGGGCACTATTCCCCCCAGTAATACCAACAATGGGGCACTATTCCTCCCATTGATACCAACAATGGGGCACTATTACTCACCCTAATACCAATAATGGGGCATTGTTTACTGACACCAGGATATTTTCTACTCCCATTGGCCACAGTCCTGCCCCCCTAAAGTTTGGAAGATGGTAATTTGGCCCTTTGTTTAGAAAGTTTGGAGACCCTTGCTTTAAACCATAATGTACTGCATGACAACTATCGCTAGCAGGCTTAGAAGCCTATAAGGGGGCTTTTGGATAAGCCAGCCCCCCTTAATTTAAAGCAAGTTTCATTGAACCCTTGGTGAATTCATCCTGGGCAGACCGCCCATCACTAGCCCTGACCATAATAAAAAAGGAAATTATTTGTACAAAACCACTGTGTATTCTATATACATTTTAAACACCATTTTACTAAGACGTTCCCAATGTTTATTTTCACTACTAACGATACAAATTGTCAAATATTGTGAATTTTGTTTTATTTTCAAAATTTGCCTGCAATTTGCCTGCAATGAGTTCTCTGTTTTTTTAACTTCTTCCTGGCTGTGCTATAGCCGAAAGATGGCTACAGCACGGCTCTCCCATGTGCACACCTCCCACATGCTCCCTGGGGCATGCATCGGGTGCGCTCTTTGACTACTTTGTCTAAAGCATCACAGATGGCGGTAAAGGGCCAATCACAGTGGCCCTTTTCATCTGTGTCCAATCACAGCAGATTGCATGTGAACAGACTTGGCGGTTATGGGTATTTCTTTCCTCACATGCTGTCTCTGTGTGAGGAAAGGAGAGCTGATAACTGGCAAGTCTGACAGGACACAGGGAGCGCATTGTTTACACTGATAATCAGTACCCTGATTGATTATCAGTGCAGATCTGTCAGTGCTAATCAGTGCCCATGAGTGCAGGTTATCAGTGCCCATCAGTGCCACCTATCAGTGTCCATCAGTGCCTCCTCATCAGTGCCCATCAGTGCAGCTTATCAATGCCCATCAGTGGCACCTCATCAGTGCCCATCAGTGAAGAAGAAAAAATTACTTATTTGCAAACCTTTATAACTGACAGTAAGAAAACTTTTTTTTTTCACATTTTCTGTCATTTTTCATTTGTTTAGCAAAAAATAAAAAACCCATTGGTTATTAAATACCACCAAAAGAACGCTATCTGTCTAAAAAAAAATACAAATTTCATTTAAGTACAGTGTTGCATGACCGTGCAATTGTCATTCAAAGTACTACAGTGCTGAAAGCTAAAAATTGGCCTGGGCAGGAAGGGAGTGAAAGTGTCTGGTATTGAAGTGGTTAAAGGTGTGCAAGCAAGAAACTCTTATTTGGCTACAGTATACATATGATGGCTGTGTGTCTGTGTCTCTAAAACACAAATATATAGATATGATAGTTGTGGCTGCACATCCTCTGCACATTAACTTACTTTGTATTGGCTTGAAGGTAATATAAATAAGGGTTAAAAATTGGATACTTTAAACACAAATTAAGTAAGTTACCTCAAATACCATTTTTTCAGCTTTTATTCTTCTAATAATTGAACCCAAGAACAACTGCAATTACTTTGTAAATCCATTGTAAACTAAATTTAATAGAAGTTAAACAAATAAACATTTAATAAGCCACAGAGGATTCCCAGAGTACTAAGGGTTAGCTAAGGATACAGCACACCAGATGTTGCTTGCTGAGCAACTCCCTCTGTCTGACTGAAACTCTGTATTAAGATACTTGGTAAGAAATGAATCACTGCTTAGACATACTGGAGTTTATTTACTATAGCAGGTGAGTACAAAATCAGGCTCACTTCTGCACAGAAACCAATCAGCTTCTAACTTCACCTTGTTAAATTGCTTTGGCAATAAAACCTGGAAGCTGATTGGTTTCTATGCAGACGTGAGCCTTATTTTGCACTCTTCATCTTTAGTAAATAAATCCCTCTGTATCTTTTGAGGTCATTAAAGTGTTACTAAACCCACAACAGTAAAATCATTCTGTATATGCAATACAGCATGCTTGTTATACTCACTGTGGAAGGGGTTAATCCTCTGCACTGTGTAAAAAGGATGTTTGATCCTGTCTTCTCTTATCCTCCCCTTCTTCCACAGTCCCCAATCCATTTGCTGATAGAACAGAGCCTTGGGGGCAAGCTACACATGCTCAGTTTGGTGTGTATTGCTAGAGAGGTTTTTTTTTTTTCTTAAGAGAGCGCATGTGAATATCACAGGGCCAATCAGCACTCTCCAGACAGAGGGTCAGGGGTCCTGCAGCCTCATAGGACAATCAGGGGAAAAGAAAAACTCCGCCTTCAAGCTTTAACCAGTGCTCTGTTGGACACTGATAGAAGTCACAAGAATGTTATATACTGCTGATGAGAAAACGTATTTAGCAGTTTATATTTACTAAAATATTGTGTGTACTGTGGGAGACTAGATATAGTGTATGCAGGGTCCTGAGTTTAGTAACACTTTACAGTAAACATACAGTATATGTGGCCTCATGAAAATGGGATTTTATCTTTGAGGCAGCATATATTGTATGCGTACCAGTTTTTGTGCTGTGAGCACACTGCATAGCACTCTCTCATCATAGAGGCTCTCACTTGGTTACTGTGATAGGCTCTAATTGGTTATCACAGTGATCAGTCACTGTGCAGCCCACCCATATGTTTTCTTTGTCTTCTGAATAGAGAAACTTACATTGTATCTTTCTCTCCAAGCAGGGGAGAAAAATGTAAATAAACAAAATAATAAAAGGAAATTTAAAAAAAATGGCTAGATCAAGGTTTGATCTAGGTTGGTGTCAGGGTTAGAGTTAGGGTCAAGGTAAGGGTCAAAGGTCAAGATAAGTACCAGTATATTTTGAGTAGGATTTTTAAATTAGTATCAGTGTCATTGTGTTTTAGGTAGGATAAAATCAAGCAAAATCCTAATATACATACACTATATTGTCAAAGGTATTGGGACACTCCTCCAAGTCATTTGATTCAGGTGTTCCAATCACCTCCATGGCCACAGGTATATAAAATCAAGCACTCAGGGCTCGTTCACACTAGGCTGTTTTGCCAACGCTTGCCAAACGCCCCTATAGCGTTTGGCAAGCGTTGGTCCGGCGTTTGCGGAGCGTTATTAACGCTCGGCAAACGCTCCGCAAACGCCTAGCGGCGGTTGCTAGGCATTTGCCGAGCGTTAATAACGCCCCACAAACGCCTATAATGCAGTTTGAGTGGTGTTACCGCTCCGTAAACGCCCCGCAACCGCGTCGCAACCGCACCACAAACGCCGGCCGGGCGTTTGCGGAGCGGCACCATAGACGAGAATAGGAGGCTTCAAAGCCTCCTGACTCGTCCAGAGACGTCCATTTGCCGCGACGCAATGCGACGCAAACACTCCCGTTAGAACAGCACCATGTGCTGTAATGTGCAGAATTGGCAGAGGCGTTTGGGAAGCGGTAAAAACGCTTACCAAATGCCTCTCTGCCACCTGCACACAAGGCTAGTGTGAACGTAGCCTTAGGCATGCAGGCTGCTTCTACAAACATTTGTGAAAGAATGGGTCACTCTCAGGAGCTCAGTGAATTCAAGCGTGGTACCGTGATAGGTTGCCACCTATGCAATAAGTCCATCTGTGAAATTTCCTTGCTACTAAATATTCCACGTCAACTGTTAGTGGTATTATAACAAAGTGGAAGCAACTGGGAACAACAGCAACTCAGCCACAAAGTGGTAGGTCATGTAAAATGACAGAGCGGGGTCACCGCATGCTGAAGCGCACAGTGCACAGAAGTCGCCAACTGTCTGCACAGTCAATAGCTAAAGACCTCCAAACTTCTTGTGGCCTTCAGGTTAGCACAACAACAGTGTGTAGAGAGCTTCATGGAATGGGTTTCCATGGCCGATCAGCTGCATGCAAGCCTTACATCACCAAGTGCAATGCAAAGCGTCAGAAGTGGTGTAAAGCAAACCGCCACTGGACTCTAGAGCAGTGGAGACGTGTTCCCTGGAGTGATGAATTGTGCTTCTCTAGTTGACAATCCGATGGATGTGTCTGGGTTTGGCGGTTGCCAGGAGAACGGTACTTGCCTGAATACATTGTGCCAAGTGTAAAGTTTGGTGGAGGGGGGATTATGGTGTGGGGTTGTCTTTCAGGGGTTGGGCTTGGCCCCTTAGTTCCAGTGAAGGGAACTCTTAAGGCGTCAGCATACCAAGATATTTTGGACAATTTAATGCTCCTAACTTTGTGGGAAGAGTTTGGGGATGGCCCCTTCCTGTTCCAACATGACTGCACACCAATGCACAAAACAAGGTCCATAACGATATAGATGAGCTAGTTCAGGGTGGAGGAACTTGACTGGCCTGCACAGAGTCCTGACCTCAACCCGATAGAACACCTCTGGGAGTGGAGACTGCAAGACAGGCCTTCTCGTCAGTGCCTCACAAATGCACTTCTGGAAGAATGGTCAAACATTCCCATAGACACTCCTAAACCTTGTGAACAGCCTTCCCAAAAGAGGTGAAGCTGTTATAGCTGCAAATGGTGGGTCAACTCAATATTGAACTCTACCGACTAGGACTGAGATTCCATTAAAATTCATGTGCATGTAAAGGCAGGTGTCCCAAAACTTTTGGCAATATAGTGTATGTGGTATTGCTGCAATTCTCAGGAGCAGGAGAATTTATTTTGGGTTGTTCTTTGATAGTAAGTTACTGAACTAGCAAGAAATATGTAGCTAAATTTAAACAAAAACTTTTTTTTTTTACTATTTTGGGCTAGTTTTCCTTTGACAATAAAAAAAACAGGAGATATCCATTACTATTTACCACAAAAAAGTAAGTAAAACAAGATATAATCCAACTGCATACACAAAGTAGTTGTAACAATATGTACAGTTTTACCAACACGTGTCAACTTTGCAAAATTGTGTACAGGTGTTAACATTTGTTTTATCCTCATTCACTGAGGGATTTAACAAGGACTTTCTTTTAGGCTTTTGAAATACAGTGGCATTCTGGAAAAATTAAAACAAGACTAGAAAGTTACCTGCTGACTCAAAATATGAATATTCTTTTTTGTTTTTCAGTCCTGATTAATTTGATTGCTGCTGCCTGAGACAATATTATATAACAATCAGATGAGTATGCTTCTATAAGACATGGCACGCGTGATCTTTCACATATAGCATAGGCAATGTGATTGCCCCATGCAGATGACATGAGCAGCTTTTATTTGCAAGGCCTTCTTGGATAAAAAAAAAAAAAAGACGCTGAGCCTGTGCAGCCTCAACACACTAGACTGATGTTTTTGCGGTTGCTTAGATAAACATTTTCAGAGTATTAATATTAAAGCAAGTAGGTTGGCAATGGCCCAACCATGCAGACGGTTTTGCTGTGCTCAGGGTCATTTGGCGGCAAAGCTTTCTTGTTTGGGTGAAGTGCTTGTGGGCTTAGAAAAATTACCTTTGACTTTTTTTTTAAATTAGAGAAATAAAAATAATTGAAAGTAAAATGGATGAAGGAGATTAAAAAAAGTATTTCTTCTCATAACCCCCTCTTGAATTAAAGAAGTTGTAAACCCTTACATATACTCAGTGAAGTGACTGGCCTCAAGTGATACACAGAGATTAAACAAATCTTCCTACATAAGTTGTACCTTTATATTTACTGCCGTCTGTCCCCTACAGAAATTAAAAATGTAGAATTTACACAGTATCTCTCAGCTCTGAAAAGCAGGGGGCCGGGAGCTGGTTATACTCAGTGAGGTAAAGTCTGAGAGGTGATTGGAGGAAAGCAACACACCAGCTTCACACAGCTCACAGGAACAGAGCTGTGGCTGTCAATCACTGGCTCTGCCCTCTCCTGTCACCTTTTTTCTCTTGGTGTCTCAAAAACCCATCAAAAGTGACTTATGTTGATAGCAGATGAATGAAGCAGTGGACAGAAATGACACTTAGTGCTCTTGATTAAGATAAGTACACACTATAGAGCAGTGGTTCTCAACCTTTCTAATGCCACGACCCCTTAATACAGTTCCTCATGTTGTGGTGACCCCCAACCATAAAATTATTTTCGTTGCTACTTCATAACTGTAATTTTGCAGTGGGAGGACTAGCGCCCCATCACTGATGTCAATGGGAGGAATAGTGTCCCATCGTCGGTATCAGTGGGAGGAATAGTGTCCCATCGTCGGTGTCAGTGGGAGGAATAGTGCCCCATCGTCGGCGTCAGTGGGGGGAGGAATAGTGCCCCATCGTCGGCGTCAGTGGGGGGAGGAATAGTGCCCCATCGTCGGCGTCAGTGGGGGGAGGAATAGTGCCCCATCGTCGGCGTCAGTGGGGGGAGGAATAGTGCCCCATCGTCGGCGTCAGTGGGGGGAGGAATAGTGCCCCATCGTCGGCGTCAGTGGGGGGAGGAATAGTGCCCCATCGTCGGCGTCAGTGGGGGGAGGAATAGTGCCCCATCGTCGGCGTCAGTGGGGGGAGGAATAGTGCCCCATCGTCGGCGTCAGTGGGGGGAGGAATAGTGCCCCATCGTCGGCGTCAGTGGGGGGAGGAATAGTGCCCCATCGTCGGCGTCAGTGGGGGGGGAGGAATAGTGCCCCATCGTCGGCGTCAGTGGGGGGAGGAATAGTGCCCCATCGTCGGCGTCAGTGGGGGGAGGAATAGTGCCCCATCGTCGGCGTCAGTGGGGGGAGGAATAGTGCCCCATCGTCGGCGTCAGTGGGGGGAGGAATAGTGCCCCATCGTCGGCGTCAGTGGGGGGAGGAATAGTGCCCCATCGTCGGCGTCAGTTGGGGGAGGAATAGTGCCCCATCGTCGGCGTCAGTGGGGGGAGGAATAGTGCCCCATCGTCGGCGTCAGTGGGGGGAGGAATAGTGCCCCAGTCAGTGGGGGGAGGAATAGTGCCCCATCGTCGGCGTCAGTGGGGGGAGGAATAGTGCCCCATCGTCGGCGTCAGTGGGGGGAGGAATAGTGCCCCATCGTCGGCGTCAGTGGGGGGAGGAATAGTGCCCCATCGTCGGCGTCAGTGGGGGGAGGAATAGTGCCCCATCGTCGGCGTCAGTGGGGGGAGGAATAGTGCCCCATCGTCGGCGTCAGTGGGGGGGGAGGAATAGTGCCCCATCGTCGGCGTCAGTGGGGGGAGGAATAGTGCCCCATCGTCGGCGTCAGTGGGGGGAGGAATAGTGCCCCATCGTCGGCGTCAGTGGGGGGAGGAATAGTGCCCCATCGTCGGCGTCAGTGGGGGGAGGAATAGTGCCCCATCGTCGGCGTCAGTGGGGGGAGGAATAGTGCCCCATCGTCGGCGTCAGTGGGGGGAGGAATAGTGCCCCATCGTCGGCGTCAGTGGGGGGAGGAATAGTGCCCCATCGTCGGCGTCAGTGGGGGGAGGAATAGTGCCCCATCGTCGGTGTCAGTGGGGGGAGGAATAGTGCCCCATCGTCGGCGTCAGTGGGGGGAGGAATAGTGCCCCATCGTCGGCGTCAGTGGGGGGAGGAATAGTGCCCCATCGTCGGCGTCAGTGGGGGGAGGAATAGTGCCCCATCGTCGGCGTCAGTGGGGGGAGGAATAGTGCCCCATCGTCGGCGTCAGTGGGGGGAGGAATAGTGCCCCATCGTCGGTGTCAGTGGGGGGGGAGGAATAGTGCCCCATCGTCGGTGTCAGTGGGGGGGAGGAATAGTGCCCCATCGTCGGTGTCAGTGGGGGGAGGAATAGTGCCCCATCGTCGGTGTCAGTGGGGGGAGGAATAGTGCCCCATCGTCGGTGTCAGTGGGGGGAGGAATAGTGCCCCATCGTCGGTGTCAGTGGGGGAGGAATAGTGCCCCATCGTCGGTGTCAGTGGGGGGAGGAATAGTGCCCCATCGTCGGTGTCAGTGGGGGGAGGAATAGTGCCCCATCGTCGGTGTCAGTGGGGGGAGGAATAGTGCCCCATCGTCGGTGTCAGTGGGGGGAGGAATAGTGCCCCATCGTCGGTGTCAGTGGGGGGAGGAATAGTGCCCCATCGTCGGTGTCAGTGGGGGGAGGAATAGTGCCCCATCGTCGGTGTCAGTGGGGGGAGGAATAGTGCCCCATCGTCGGTGTCAGTGGGGGGAGGAATAGTGCCCCATCGTTGGTGTCAGTGGGGGGAGGAATAGTGCCCCATCGTTGGTGTCAGTGGGGGGAGGAATAGTGCCCCATCGTTGGTGTCAGTGGGGGGAGGAATAGTGCCCCATCGTTGGTATTAGTGACACAAATGATGGGGCACTATCCCTCCCACTGACACCAATGATACTTACCTTGCTGACTCCTGCTCCAGCCTGGGCTCGCTCTCTCCCTCTCCCATCTACAGCCTGCATACCTGGCTGCAGCAGCAAAATTTGCACTTACCTGTCAGCTGTCTTCCTTCTCTGGCCTCTCTCTTCACTCGTTCCTGCAGCTCCCTCGATCTTCTTCGATCTCCGCGCGCTGCCGCTCGGCTCCCCTCTCCAAGCTCCACCTTCTCGCCGGTGATTGGCCGCCTGTGTGCCTCTCCTGAGCTACAGTTCCGGTGGCCAATCAGCGGCGAGGAGGCGGTGACAGGGGCAGCATATCATCCCGCCCACACATCGCCGGAGACAGGAGCGGCGTCTCGGTTCTTAAGACCATCGGAAATATGTGTTTTCCGATGGTCTTAGGCGACCCCTGGGAAATGGTCGTTCGACCCCCAAAGGGGTCGCGACCCCCAGGTTGAGAACCGCTGCTATAGAGGGATATAGTTACATAGTTAGTCTGGCTGAAAAAAGACAAAAGTCCATCCAGTTCAACCATTAAAAAAAAAAAGTTATAATCCTATACCCATAGTTGATCCAGAGGAAGGCAAAAAAAACCAGCAAAGCATGATCCAATTTGCTCCTGCAGGGAAAAAAATTCCTTCCTGATCCCCCGAGAGGCAATCTGATATTCCCTGGATCAACTTTACCTATAAATGTTAGTATCCAGTATATATTCTGTGTATCTAAAAAAGAATCC